TTTGCACCTCTTTACGGGTTGTGGGTCGCGTTCATGTAGATGTCGTTGAACTCCATTGAGTTTTTGTTGGTGGTCCTCCACTTCAAGTAAACTTGATTAGGATTGTGGTCCTCCTTATTCATTCAGACAAAAAAACTTTTCCAAACTCTAAATTTAAAGGTTGTCGAATCTTGGTCGTCGTCCGTTGCTAGATTCTCCGACACATCTAGCCATGCTGCACTAATGTCTTCTCTTCTTTATCCGTCCATCCTTGACATTCTGCCTTCCTTTTTTCTTCCCTTTTTTTCGTTTTAAGCCGACTTCAGGCTCTTGAAACGACTCTTCAACGGGTGCTTCATCGGAATAATCGGTTAACTCATCAAGTAGGCGGTGTGATTGAGATTGAAAACTAGTTTGGGGTTGAGGTTGGGAATAGAATTGGGTTTCTTGAACCGACTCAAATCGATCAAGATCAAAAATTGGACGCAGTATTGGCTGGGATTTGAAATTAGTTTGGGGTTGCTTTTGGTAAAATGACACGGGGTTGAGATTGAAATTGGGAAGTGTACGAATTGAATGGATACATTTTTCGAGCCATAGTATGTGTAACTCCCGCAGATTCAGGCCAATCAATTTAGAAATAATAAGCGTTAAAAATGACTTTTTGATAGAAGATTATTTAGAATAAATAATCTTAACCAAGTTATAGTATATGTCACAAGGATTTCAAACATATAAAGAACGTTGAAAACTGACTTATAACGAAGAAGTTATGACCCGTGGAAGTTTTACGACAAAACCGACACAACGCCGCGTATCGTAAAAAGTGAATTTTTGATAAACTACATTTTAGCCTTATCAATCTAAACAAAAGTCATAATATATGTTAAACCGAGAACGTACATACAAAGAACATCCAAATCTGACTTCGTTTGAGGAAGTTAGGATTTTTGTAAGATTTAGCATAGCAGTGCACAGCCCGTAAATCGAATTTTAGATCGATCAATTTTTAGGCGACACAACCTAAATAAGAATTGAATATCTCATTAATAGGAGCTCAACGATATAAAGACAGTCGAAAACGGACGTCGGATGACAAAGTTATGAATTTTTAACTGACTTTAACTGCCTAAGCCTGTTAAAATATAACTTTAAAAATAAAGTCAAAATTAGCCGACGAAGTCTAAAAGAAAGTTGTAGATCCCGTCGATACCTACACATGGATATAAAGAATGTCAAAAACGGAGCTCGTATGCGAAAGTTACGGATTTTAGAAGATAATTAGTTTTTGGAGTGATCAACGATTGACACGTGGCACGATCTGAGCCACTACTACTTCCTCATGCATTGTCACCAGATGGTGACACTTGGCACATCAACACGTCGTGTAGGGATCATAAACACGCCGTGTTGATCCATTTCTTAGCCTATAAATAGAGGCGCAACTCTCTCATTTCTTCACACCATTCTTATCCCACTCTCTCTCAAACACCCCCATAGCCCCTTTCCATTCCCTAGCACTTCCCAAGTGCAAGAGGCGAGTCCCGGAGCGCCAGAAGGCTCCGAGAAGAAGAGCTTTCGGTTTAGAAGTTCTGCCCGTAAAGAGTCCGGTTCTTCGCTAAACCCCCTTGTAAGTGAGTTATGTTTACCTTACTTTAGGTATAACTTGTGTTTAAGTTCATTATCGTTATTATGAACCTATAAGTAATATATGAGCTAAGTATTATAAAATACAAAGTGTTATTATAATACCTTTTAACTGTTCGCGGTACGGGGAATCTGGTTTGAAGGGCCACATAGGGTTGTTGGATTTCAGAACAGCTTAAATGCCAAAATGGTCCTGCCCTCCAGTGTTTCATGTCTGGCTTCTGTCTGTACATAGTAGTTGAAAAGTATTGTTTAACACTTATAAAACTATATAGCTCGTAGACCTTGAGTTAATAATTAGTCGTAATAAATTTTAGACTAAAATCTAGTGATAATGATACTAGGTTTCGTCGAAGGAAAATAAAATTGTTAGAAGCGAAGCGTTGCCCGAGTTTGGAGTCATCACTCTAACAAGTGAGTGCATAGTTATTTTCATCTTACACATAGATATGAAGTATTTAATATAAATTACATGCTATTTGTGCATATTATCTGTGTTCTTGATATCTATGTTGGATGAACAAAATATACATGTTTTATTCGATTTAAACTGTATACGTATTTTATGTTGGAAAATTAATTTTATTAATTTCCAAAAATGGATTTTCTCCATTTTTGAGCACAAATTTTGGACTTTAGATATAATCAAAACGAACTATTGATTATATATTCTTGTTCTCCTCCGTGATATCTTCGTTTCAATATATTACACGTCCAAAATAGATTAAAAATGAATGAGAAATTACTTGTCAAAGTAGGGCAATTAGAAGAGAAAATACAGGAGTTAAGTAGGTTTTAAACTCATCCCACATTGGTAGGAGAATGAAAAGGAAATTGGTTTATAACTACAAAGACTAACTACCTTTGTAAGACTTATTAGAACCAAGGGTCTCTCTTGCGCGCACGCAGGGGGTGAAAATGCGAGCCAAATTTGGCTTCGGGCCACTGAACTTGTGTGCGAGCGCACGTCCTGCGGGCATGAATGCACCACCGGTCGACCAGAAAAGTTCAAGGACCTTTTTGCAATTATTTCCTTTTGGTTAACAGTTACAAAAACGAATTAAGAGTTATTAATCATAGATTTTGGTTTTGATTTCTTGATTAATTGTCTTTTAATTGTGACAATTACGATTTTGTTTTAATTACATTAGTTACATTAGATAGTATAAATACAACTCTTATGTGACTGATTCGATACACCGAATGAAACGAAATACTCTTCCTCTCTTACGCTTCTGCTTCATCTTTTCTCCCTTGCTGCAACCAAGGTATAAACATGTCAAGTGAGGGTTCGTACAATCTAGAAGAACTGCTTTCTACTGTAGTATCCTGGGAAACAAACACCCATATAGGGCGAATTTGTTTTAAGGAAACTGTGTTAAACATAGGCCTCAGTCAACAATTTTAGGGCTTTGTTCTTTCGTACAGTTTTTGGGTTATATTTTTCTAACATTTTATACCTATAATTATGATGGGTAAAGATTGGTAGATGAAAGATGAGAGATGAAAGATGATATAGCTGATGAGAGGTGAAAGATGATGAGAAGCCTTGACCCAAGCGATGACCCGGTCATCTAGCAGAGTATAGATGACAACCACAGACTATTCTAGATAGTACAGTGGAACGCTAGCAGGCTCACAACCTGTAGGTGTTGTCAACGATGTGTTCACCAGATGTACTCTAAAAACCCTGACAGCTATGGACTTAGTGCCTCACAAAGGAACTTTGGCAGCTATGTATTTAGTGCCTTACAAATAAATGTTGACAACTATGGATTTAGTGCCTTATAGATGAACATTGACAACTATCGACTTAGTGCCTAATAGATAACATCGGCAACTATGGACTTAGTGTCTGTTATATAAACCCTGGTAGCGATGGACTCCGTGCCTATTCCTTAGGACAATCCTGAGGAATTAATATTGAGGAATAGGTGATTCTTAGGAAAGATACTTAAGAATAAAGAAGATAATGTGGATTGGTAATTAGGTTAATTGTTTGATGATGAAACATAATAACTTTATTATTGTGGGTTGAAAACCCTATGTACTCACCAGGTTTTCCACCCGACCCACTCAGTTTTTTTGTATCACAAATATCGATACGAAGACACATTACACTGAGAGATTAAAGGAGATGTAAATCATTAGTATAAATGAATGTAAAGTCTGTTTATGCTTATGTTTCTGTATTGACAATGACATCTCAAAGTTTTAATATAAACAAAATATATTTCTTCGGAAATGCTTTGATAATATATTTATCATGTTTTCTAGGAACAAATTCCGCAATATTATTCTTTAAAAATGAATACTCTGATTTTTAAATAAGCATAAATAAAATTTTTATAATGACTGTGAATTTGGGGATGTCACAGTATGATAATAGTAACGAGCAGGTGAATGAATGAGTTGATCAAATGAAGGTCGATAACATGTTGGTGATGGAAGGTTTGATGATTGAGAGTTTTGAGGTGGAAGGTATAGTGATGGAAGGTTTGAAGATTTTTTTTTGTTTCTTCTTGGGGTTTTGTTTTGGCTAAGTGAATACATTTTTGTTTGGTGAATTAAGAGTTTTTGTGAGAGAAAGAATGTTAGTTTGTGTGTGTGCAATGTTAAGAGTGTAATGTTAATTTATAATGTTGGATAAAAATTTGAAATTTTAATGTTTTAGGGCAAATATCATTTTTTTTTTGAAATTTGGTCAAAACGAAAATGGGATCCAGACAAAAGTCTAAGGACCAATCACAGCCAAGACAATTCTCTCTCTCATCTCGCTGATCTGGTAGCGCATTACCCCTAGCAAGCCTCCTGGTGAGCACCATGGGATGATTTTCTTCTTACGTAGCGAGCTCCCAACGAAAATTCTTAACACTTGACTCCCTCGAGTGTAGTGACATAATAATTTCACCAATACCATTTATTTATCTTCTCACGTTCACATACATTACTTCTATTTCAACATACAAATTACCATCATGCACAATACTTTCACCAATACCATTTATTTATCTTCTCAGGTCATATACATTACTTCTATTTCAACATACAAATTACCATCATTTAATTATTACTTTCAAGTCTTATAAAATTTGAAGTTGTTACATCATGGTCAGCACAAAAGGTAGAATTTATTGATTTACCCTTAAAAACTTTAAATAAACAAACATAGGTGGTTTGTCGTGTGTTGCAATACTATATCAAGATTTCTAAATTCAGTTTCTAAATAGTGGGGATTCCTTTTTAGTTATTTAATTTGTAATTTATTAATTGTGAATTTAATATTATTTTTCATTTTTTTAAAAGTTATTGAGAAAAAATGTTGTAACTTACTTATGTATGATAAATTCTTTTATAAAAATTGAAATGAGGCACGACAAAAATTGATGCAAGGATCCATCCAAACATGGTTCACAGCACTACAGCAGTGTTGTGTTGGTAAAGGTAGGGCAAGAAAGTGTGAATAAATATTAAATTTTGTGGGGGTTTTCATAAAGCGTGTAGGTGTCACACCATAACTCAATTCATCGTCATAATTGCCATCATATTCTTTGCCTTCGCTGGATTATATATCTACACACGCTAATCCTCACACAATCTTCCTGTACTGTGTGTATATATAGCAACTAGCATCGGCTTCCACCCGGTGAAATTGTCCGCGGTTTCTTTCTTCATAACTCATAATTTTGGTGGAAGTCTGTTTTGCTTTGCACCTCACTCTGCTTTCAAATTCATATTTTGGTCCTGTCACAAATCCGGATCAAATAAGTCTATGTAAGTTCACATCTTTCAGTTTGCTACTGTATTTGCGTTTTTTTACTATGTAAATCGAAAGTGTTGATATTTTTCGATTGAATGATTTCTAAAGTTGATTGTACGATGCGGACATTTTGTCGTGTTGATTAGATCTGGTTTAAGGCGAGTTAGTATCGAGCTTACTAAATTCGTTATAGATCTGTTTGAGTTCGATCACTTTTTAGGCTTATCGTGTGATTTCAAGTATTGCAATTATGTTCAACATTTTAATCTGATCAAATTTAGGTTAATTTCAAGTTTGGTTTCAGATTTGGATGTTGATTGTTCATTGTTGTGCTTCTGGCTTTAGTTGCTGCCGATCTAGTCTGATCAGTTGATTTCAAGCTTTCTACTATCTACTTTCTACTTTTACAGTGTTTACTTCTTTTCTTTTACGAAATCATTATTTAATTCGCTTGTTTTAGCTACATATTGTTCTTCACTTCATTCCTTTTCTACTAATATGTTTTTTGATGTACGATTTGCCTAAACATGCTGTTGATCTCTAATGTTTATAGTGAAGTTGTTTTAGCTATAGATTAAGTGTTCAAATTTATGAAAGGTTATAACATATGGATCTTGAGTTTTTGACCTACATTATTGATCTTGCTTATGTTCAGATTGATCCAGTATGACCACATATACACCAAAAAACATCCTCATCACTGGAGCTGCTGGCTTCATTGCATCTCATGTCGCCAATCGCCTTATCAGAAGCTACCCAGATTACAAGATCGTTGTTCTTGACAAACTTGATTACTGCTCAAATCTCAAGAACCTCAACCCCTCCAAATCATCTCCCAACTTCAAATTTGTCAAAGGAGACATCGGAAGTGCAGATCTGGTCAATTACCTCTTAATCACCGAATCCATTGACACCATAATGCACTTTGCTGCTCAAACCCATGTAGACAACTCATTCGGAAACAGTTTTGAGTTCACAAAAAACAACATATATGGGACCCACGTGCTTCTCGAAGCCTGCAAAGTCACCCGCCAGATCAGACGATTCATCCACGTCAGCACAGACGAAGTGTATGGTGAAACAGAGGAAGACGCCATTGTTGGCAACCATGAAGCTTCACAACTTCTTCCCACAAATCCATATTCTGCTACAAAAGCAGGTGCAGAAATGCTTGTGATGGCTTATGGTAGATCATACGGATTACCCGTGATTACAACAAGAGGAAATAATGTTTATGGCCCAAATCAATTCCCAGAAAAACTAATCCCTAAATTCATTCTCTTAGCCATGAGAGGGAAACCACTTCCCATTCATGGAGATGGATCTAATGTCAGAAGTTATCTCTACTGTGAAGATGTTGCTGAAGCTTTTGAAGTCATTCTTCACAAAGGCGAAGTGGGACATGTTTACAACATTGGAACCAAAAAAGAAAGACGAGTCATCGATGTTGCTAAAGACATGTGTAACCTTTTCAACATGGATCCTGAATCAAGCATCAAGTTTGTTGAAAACAGACCTTTCAACGATCAAAGATACTTTCTAGATGATGAAAAGCTCAAAAGCTTAGGGTGGGCCGAAAGAACAACATGGGAAGAAGGTTTGAAAAAGACAATGGAATGGTACACCAGCAACCCCGATTGGTGGGGTGATGTATCGGGTGCACTCCTCCCTCATCCAAGAATGCTAATGATGCCAGGTGGCGTTGAACGAGTGGTCGAAGTATCCGAAAACATTCAATCCGATTCCCCTCATGCTGTTGTTAACCCTTCCCAATTCCGAAAAGTGGGACCCGTTACCAAACCAAATAAACCATCTTTCAAGTTCTTGATTTATGGGAAAACAGGGTGGATCGGTGGATTACTTGGGAAACTATGTGAAAAACAAGGAATCCAATACGAATACGGAAAAGGGCGTTTGGAGAATCGGGCACAAATTGTAGAAGATATCCAAAAAATCAAACCCACCCATGTTTTCAATGCTGCGGGTATCACGGGTCGACCCAATGTCGATTGGTGCGAATCACATAAAACCGAAACGATTCGCACCAATGTCTCCGGGACCCTCACTTTAGCAGATGTCTGCAAAGAATCCGGAATCTTGATGATCAATTTCGCCACCGGATGTATTTTCGAATACGATGAGAAGCATCCGGAAGGTTCCGGAATCGGTTTCAAAGAAGAAGACACTCCTAATTTCACCGGATCCTTCTATTCCAAAACCAAGGCTATGGTAAGTAGTTTTAATAACCGGTAACTGTGTCTGATACTGATACTTGATACTGATACTGATACTGTGTGGTATGGTTTGCAGGTTGAGGAGCTACTGAAAGAATACGACAACGTGTGCACATTGCGGGTCCGGATGCCGATTTCATCGGATCTAAACAACCCGCGAAACTTTATTACGAAAATCGCGCGATACGACAAAGTGGTGAATATTCCGAACAGTATGACGATTTTGGATGAGCTTTTACCGATATCGATTGAAATGGCGAAGAGAAACTTGAGGGGGATATGGAATTTTACAAATCCGGGGGTTGTGAGTCATAATGAAGTATTGGAGATGTATAAGGAGTATATAAATCCGGAGTTTAAGTGGACGAATTTTACATTGGAAGAGCAAGCGCGAGTGATTGTTGCACCAAGGAGTAATAATGAATTGGATATGACGAAATTGAAGGAGGAGTTTCCGGAGTTGTTGTCGATTAAGGAGTCGTTGATCAAGTATGTGTTTGAACCGAATAAAAAAGTTTAAATTTATTATTATTATTATTATTATTGTTACATGTGTAATGTTTAAATAGTTTGAGATGATAGGAAAAGGAAGATCATACTGATAGTCTTGATACTATATTGTTAGCAGATTGGTATTCTTGGTTTCTTTACAGGTTTAATTTGTTGTTAATTACAGAATGGTTATTTTGATATATTAATGTTGTTTTTTTTTCTGTGAATTTGAATTTTGTTATGGTTTATTCAAAGTATGTTGTTTTTAGTGGGTTTGTTTTTATTTGAGGACAAAAAAGCGTGAATTAGAATTAGGAATACTTTAACGTGACAGTTGTGACGAGTTGGGGAAAAGGAGTTGGCCATGTGGTCCACTGGGTCACCGACTTTTGCTTGCCAGGGCATTTGGCTTCACATTCTCGCCGCTAACCTTTTAAGCCGTAAAGGTAGAAAATTAGGTTTGAAATTTATAAAGAGATTATTATATATCTTATCTTAGAACAAGATTTTTTTTTAAGAAAAACACATTTTCTACGATATCGTATTTTCACACTTTATTTTTGTTTTTTTGTACTGTGAAAATGTGTAGTTTCGCACCTTATGTCTCTTTGTGTGATTTTCTTTTTTCTGTTTGTGGAAAATCATATAAATGTTGTTGGAAATATATAGTTTTTTAAGGGCGTATTCGGTACGCAGCGTTTGGGAGCTTCTGGCTTCTAACTTTTAAGAAAACACTAGTAAAAAACAAAAAAGCCTCGTTCGGCGACATGAGCGTTTAGCTTTTAACCTAAACAAAACGCTCCAAAATCAAAAGCTACATGGAGTAGCTAGCTTTCAACAAAACCTTCCAAAATCAAACGCTACCAGCTACCAGCTAGTTTTGCTGAACACGCCCTAAGTTATAGTTAACGTTTCTTTTTGTATTTTTTCAAATTATATTGACCGTGAAATGAACAATTTTTAGAACCGACAAAAAGTGACTCAACTTGCTAACTTGACCGGAACTCAACCTAAAACTAACAAGCGTGGTTGTGATTTTCAACCTATTCAATTAAATTGATCAATCCGTCTAACCTATTTAATTAAATGGTTTGGATTGAGTTGGAATACTTTAACATATTTTAAAATCGTCAATCCATTTAAATATGTGTATATTTATTTTATATTTAATTGAATATAATTATTTAATTATAAAATTCTATTATATCGAAAACAAGAAATTCATAATTCTAACTTTAAAATTTTTTGAACATTGTAACTGTACAAAAACTTTTTTCGTGCATGTGTTTGTATTTTGACATTGATTTGGCAACAATTCATTCAATAATCTATCTGTTACAAATGTAATCACATGCATTTGTTTTTTCATGTCCTTACATCTATGAAAATAATCTGCACCACTATAAATTCCATTGTAACTCATTAGGGTGAATATTTGGACTTTCGGACCGGATCAGACCTGGACCGGCCTCAACAGGTCCGGTCCAAGGTCACAACCGATTTCACCAAAACCGGTCTAGTCCGGTTCGGTCCAAATACTCATCCCTAAAGTCGTAATAAGATAAACTAACTTTCGGTAGGGTTTCAAAGAGTTGTACCATATGCACTTAGAGTTGTACCAGTCCAACAGATACAAAAACCTGAACCCGGACCTGGACCAGACCTCAACACCTCAACAGGTCTGGTCCAAGGTCCACCAATTTCTATCAAACCGGTCCTGTCCAAGAACCGATCCGGTTTGTTCCAATGCTCACCCCTCAAACTCATCGACCCGTTACATATGGGGTTGAAGCTCGATATGTAATGGCATGTGAAGTCGACGACAACCTATATTCGCATAATATATCCATTATTTCATATTTTAGTTTCTTTTTTATTCGTTTGAACACGTACTTAATCAATATTTCCTGCTAGATAACAATCTTTTTAACTGAATTTTCCGGTATTCCAGAAATTATTCATATATAAGGCTTTTTGCCATCCATATATATTTGTCAACGTTTATTATATGATTCAATATAGTGAAACTCTTAGAAGATGTCTTCAAGACTTCAGCAGCCTAAGTTGGCATTGTGTATCCATTATCGCACATCTTAATTTCTTTTTTATTTGGCCAGAACACGTACTTGATCAATGATTCTTTAACCGATAGCAATTCCGGAAACTCTTTCTTCAGTTTCGTCACATCCAACTCATTATTACTCCGTGGTGCAACAATCACTTGTGCTTGCTCTTCCAAAGTAAAACTCGTCCATTTAAACCCTGGATTTATGTATTCTTTATACATCTCCAAAACTTCATTATGCCTCACAACCCCGGTGTTTGTAAAGTTCCAAATTCCTGTCAAATTTCTCTTCGCCATTTCTATTGATATCGGTAAAAGCTCGTCCAAGATTGTCATACTATTTGGAATATTCACCACTTTGTGGTAACGCGTGATTTTTGTAATGAAGTTTCGCGGGTTATTGAGATCCGATGATATTGGCATTCGCACTCTCAATGTGCACACATTGTCGTATTCTTTTAGTATCTCCTCAACCTACAATGAGACCACACGATATTAGACGGATAGTCTGACCAACTAGTAATCTGTAATGAGTTACTAGTAACGAGAACACGTGGTATTATTATAATCAGTTACCAGTGACAAGTGGAACTACTTACCATAGCCTTGGTTTTGGAATAGAAGGACCCGGTGAAATTGGGAGTGTCTTCTTCTTTGAAACCGATTCCGGAACCTTCCGGATGCTTCTCATCGTATTCAAAAATGCATCCGGTGGCAAAATTGATCATCAAGATTCCGGATTCTTTGCAGACATCTGCTAAAGTGAGGGTCTCGGAGACATTGGTGCGAATCGTTTCGGTTTTATGCGATTCGCACCAATCGACATTGGGTCGACCCGTGATACCCGCAGCATTGAAAACATGGGTGGGTTTGATTTTTTGGATATCTTCTACAATTTGTGACCGATTCTCCAAACGTCCTTTTCCGTATTCGTATTGGATTCCTTGTTTTTCACATTGTTTCCCAAGTAATCCACCGATCCACCCTGTTTTCCCATAAATCAATAACTTGAAAGATGGTTTATTCGGTTTTGTAACTGGGTCCACTTTTCGGAATTGGGAAGGGTTAATAGCAGAATGAGGGGAATCGGATTGAATGTTTTCGGATACATCGGCCACTCGTTCAACGCCACCTGGCATCATTAGCATTCTTGGGTGAGGGAGGAGTGCACCCGATACATCACCCCACCAATCGGGGTTGCTAGTGTACCATTCCATTGTCTTTTTCAAACCTTCTTCCCATGTTGTTCTTTCGGCCCACCCTAAGCTTTTAAGCTTTACATCATCTAGAAAGTATCTTTGATCGTTGAAAGGTCTGTTTTCAACAAACTTGATGCTTGATTCAGGATCCATTTTGAAAAGTTTACACATGTCTTTAGCAACATCGACGACTCGTCTTTCTTTTTTGGTTCCAATGTTGTAAACATGTCCCACTTCGCCTTTATGGAGAATGACTTCAAAAGCTTCAGCAACATCTTCACAGTAGAGATAACTTCTGACATTAGATCCATCTCCATGAATGGGAAGTGGTTTCCCTCTCATGGCTAAGAGAATGAATTTAGGGATTAGTTTTTCTGGAAACTGATTTGGGCCATAAACGTTGTTTCCTCTTGTTGTAATCACGGGTAACCCGTATGACCTCCCATAAGCCATCACAAGCATTTCTGCACCTGCTTTTGTGGCAGAATATGGATTTGTGGGAAGAAGTTGTGAAGCTTCATGGTTGCCAACGATCGCGTCCTTCTCTGTTTCACCATACACTTCGTCTGTGCTAACGTGGATGAACCTTCGGATCTGGCGAGTGACTTTGCATGCCTCTAGAAGAACATGGGTGCCACCAATGTTGTTTTTTGTGAATTCGAAGCTGTTTCCGAATGAGTTATCTACATGGGTTTGAGCAGCAAAGTGCATAATGGTATCAATGGATTCGGTGATCAGGAGGTGATTAACTAGATCTGCACTCCCGATGTCTCCTTTGACAAATTTGAAATTGGGAGATGATCTGGAGGGATTGAGGTTCTTGATATTTGAGCAGTAATCAAGTTTGTCGAGAACAACGATCTTGTAATCTGGGTAGCTTCTGACAAGGCGATTGGCAACATGAGAGGCAATGAAGCCAGCAGCTCCGGTGATGAGGATGTTCTTTGGTGTGTACGTCGTCATACTGCAAGAGCTATCGATCTGAAGACAAACATGATCAACAATGTAACTCAACATGCAACGCTTATAATTTAACTTAAGAAAGAAACACAAATGAAGTAACAAAATGAGAGATATGAACTTACATATATATGAATATGAACAGAAGAGAGGGGTGAAAAACAGAATTCCACCAAAATTATGAAGAAAGAAACCGCGGACAATTTCACTGAGTAGAAGTCGATGCCTGAGTTTAAATATACATACACATTACAGGTGGATTGTGTGAGTGTTAAAAACTCACAGAAGCCTTGCAACCATTCTTACAATATGACATGAACATACATGTGAACAAGCCTTGCTAAAAGTCTTTCGATATTTGCAATTCATGTTGCAAATTGCAATGCCAAACTAAGCAAACTTTATTACTTATATATATATATATATATATATATATATATATATATATATATATATATATATATATATATATATATATATATATATATATATACACACACACTCAGAGGAGGCGTATCTATTCATTTACAATATATATAGTAGCAAAATTACGAACTACCTTAGAAAAAAATAAAGGACCTGTCTTAACTTTATTTTTCAAAAAAAAAAATGTCTTAAAAAATCATTTTAAAAGGAGAAAAAAAATAAGTTATTAGGATAAATTTGTCATTTTAAATTATAAGATTGATAACAAAAAGTTAACCATTTTTAATCGGCACTCTTAAAATATCAATAAATAAATAGATTGCTCTAATAAAAAGAAGTCTACATGTCAAAGACTCCCACACTTCTTTCACCGATTTATCAATGAACTAATAATTTTTTTCATTAAAACATATATTTTTTTCAGTTATATTTCAGTCGGTTTTTAAAATTTGTAATCGGTGATGCCTGATCGTTTAAACGATTGAACTGGTTGGTCTAATTTTTTTAACGTACACGACTTGACCCCTAACAAGTTTTGTTGATGTTTTTTATTGGTTTCACTTAATTTGGGAACCACATAATTTTTTATTCTAGATTGACCACTGTATATACTCACAAAAATCTTGCAACCA